AAGAATGGTTTCTGTTCCTGCCGACGATGGCATCAGATTGCGCCGCTTGGAAGCGTCTTATGCTTACAGCCATTGGAGCCAGCCTAACCAGTAATGGGCGAGAGCTGTTAGAAGAAGATTTACATTTATAATAAAATTTTGTCAAATCTGGCAAATCTTTATTAAATCGAATTATCGAAATTTGTGAAAAAAGAATCTGAAAAATCGAAAGAAAAAAATTCTAAAAAGTCGTTAAAAAGCGAAAGAAAAATTACCATGTGGTTGACAGAATTGTTCTAAGAATTTTAAACCGCAACATTGAAGAAATTTTTGAATAAATTTCCATTCATCACAAATTATCGCAAAATTAGAATCTAAAAAATATTTTTCCTATTTCTAAATCAATTTAAAGAGTGAAAGTTTCTGAAAATATTGCAGGTGAAAGAGCGAATGAAAATTTTGGTGGTGAACTGATTTCAACTGATTAATTTGTCGGACATAGGTACACCTTAAAGCGATAAAATTCCATCGCTATTGGCATATTAATTTTGCATAAAAATTAAGAAAGAAGCCACCAATACAAATTTTCCAAAAAAAAAAGATTTTCATGAATTTCAAGTTTTTTGAAATGTAATTTATTATTGACCGTTGGTTAATTGTTGCATAGTATCATTAAGAAATTCCGTATAATCTATATGAACTTTTTGAAGACGTAAAGCCCATAACACCGCATTCAGTAAATCAAGGAAAATCGTTGGCACCATGCATATCCAATATAATCGTACAATCATCTTTTTATTAATATAGGCTCCAATGGTACCAAATAAATGAATTATAAACTAAAAATAATTGATCCTTCATAAATAAAGAAGTTTAAAATAGATAAAATAGTTTATAATGCTTATCATGCATGATCTCAAGCGACTAAAAGAAAATAAAAAAAAAGGAAATGAGCGGGCCAGTTTAGTAGAAAGATGGTCTATAGGGGGCATTAAAAGGGCATTTAAAGGAGGTTTAAGGATTTTAAGTTTTGAAAAACGGTTAGCAACTCGATTATCTATCATTGTCTACCTTTGATTATCTATCATTGTCTATCTTGCCATCCTACATTCAAATCAAATGGATAGATAATCCACTTTCGCTCGGATGTTTTACCTCACCGTTCTCGCCAATTAATTTTTTTTTGAATATACATGCTTAGATATACAAACAAATATGCAAACGCATATTCATCCTAGCTGTATAAATTTCCTAAAAATCGTACCTGCATTCCTATATAACCATAGGTAAAAACAACTAAGTGTTCATGCCACTTTAAAGGGAAATATTTGATCCAAGGATGGAACCATATGGAACACGAGTACCAGACAAATAATAGCTAAAATATTTATTGACTAGAAAAATGTTAATTAATTTTTGCTACGAATAAATTTGCGGGAAATTGATGGCAAATTATATGATTTTATTCCTTATTTTCTTGTTGCGATCCAAATTTTAATTTTAATTTTTGTATAAATTTTATTTTTTCACAAATTTTATGTTATTTTTTATGTTATTTTTATGTTAATGTGCGCTTTCTACAAAATATTTAAAGTATTTAAAATAATGTAAATAGGAGCACCACGGTGATTTATATTAATGATAGAAATCTCTCGGTACTGTTAATATTTCTGCGACATGTTACAACCGATAATACTAAAATTCTATAAAAATTAGATAAAAGCTTTTCTCCTATTATCCAAGTTCATGAATATCTGAGGACTGCAGATAGACTTAAAACCTCTAGTTCAAACGATAAAAGAATCTGGCATGCGCGTAAGTGGGGTATTAAATAGGGGTTTAAAGAATATACCTGTATAATCATAAGTAAGCAGCCAATAGTATAAATCCATACTCGATAAGTTGGAAGTTTTTGAACGACTGACATAATTCTTATAAAATTCGAGGCCAATAAAATATTGTCCTATCACACCATCAACTTTCTTGGTTTTGATATCGCATATATATCTTCACAGAACCTAAAAGTCAAATTTGGTTTAGCTTAATCTTAGACTAGATTAAATCAAACACAAACGGAAGTCTTTTAGTTGTTTAGTTGTTTGGTCCCCTCGAACTATTATATCATAGTCACCGATTTTATTTCGCTAGGTAAAATCACTTGCATTAAATCTTGGGCCGCTGAATGAAGTAGTTAATAACAGCGAAATACGAAAATAATAGTATTCAAAAATAGTAATAATAGAAAATATCAGTTAATCATAATTATTCACTCGGCCATAATACAATGAACAACTTGGATTAGAAACCAAATTAAAAATCATGCGTGGATTCAAATGCATGCGCATGCATGTTGTTTTGAAAAAGCTATAAATACTGTCTAAAAAAACAAAAATTTCTTGGCATGAAAATGATAAGAAAAATTTCAAATAAACTTTAAAATAGATTTTAAAACAAAAATAATAAAGTTTCAATAAGTATAAGAAAAAATTTTGAGTTTAGGCAGTTAATTTCATAAAATTCACCAACGAAAATTAATAATTCTTAATGATTAATTGCAAATTTGTAAGCTAAAAAATCATAATGAATCGCAAAGATATGAGAACATAGAGAATATTATTTTAAGGGAAATTTTTATGAAAAAATGCATTAATTTTAAAAATACAAAAATGCAGAACTGATTAATTTTTCTCAAATTTTCCAAATTTATTAAATAATATTGACAAATTTAGAGCGAATTTTATTTAGATATGCAAAGATAACGATAAATTTAGATTCGAAGGAAATTATTTAAGACTGATTTTTTTTTAAAGAAAATTTCGCTAAAACTAATTTTTTGCTTTTGCATACGAATTTAATAGATAATAAGATTTCTGTGGAAGGAAATTTATAGGAATTTTTCTATAAACCTCTATGAATATAGAGTAAATACATACACTTTAACGCCTTAATTTATTCTTATAAATTAATTTCTTCGAAATTTATTTTATTCTATTAATAATGAAACTTATCAGTTCTGACTTATTATTAGTAGAATTTCACCACCGAGTTCAAGTCGTTATACTTAAAAACTATTAAAACCACTCAACAAAACTCTTCTCTCTCGTGATGGCACAAATCCTTAAATAACTCGCAAATCAACTCGAATCTCAAAAGTGAGTCCAACCAAATGGTATTAGAAGATTTAAGAAAAAAACGTTGAAACGATTTAAGAAAAAAAATGCTTTTTGAGACAAAAATTTATAGAAATATTTGTCGTATTTCTTTTTTTTTTATTTGGCCAAATTGCTAGACAATTCAATTTATCGGAAAAAATTTGAATTTGCAAAAATGAACGAAGAAAACAATACTTACTTACTTACGAAATAAATACTTACCTATAAAAATACTTGAAATGGACGATATAAAAGAACGACTAGCAAAAACACAATTCATTAAAAGGTAAAAATTTAAGAAATGTAATAATAAAAAAAAGAAGAAAAGAAGAAGAAAATTGACGATTAGAAAATTAGTAGAATTGAAATGAATGGTGAAAACTTGACCCTTGACCTTTCTTCTTATGACCTCAAAAATTTTTATTTATAATTTTAATAACCTCTTTTCTATAATTCTTTTCCTAAAATTGTTTCGACTAGTCATCTTATGATCTCCTTCATAACTTAGTGACTTTTATCGAATCACTCATGCAGAAAATCTACATGACAATATTCATTAAAAATTTCTACACTGAAGACTGATGAGTGACCTACTCACTGTTTTATATAAATAAATTCATAAATGGATGATTAACATCATGAAAGAATTGAATATGGGCATAAAATCCATGCAAATCCCGAAATAACCATTTGCGAAATATTCGTTCCTTTAGTTTCACTTACCTTTAATAAACTAATCGACCATTCTCCAAGAAAAATGATAAAGTGATCATATATGTGATAATTACTAAGGAATCAGCTTGCTAAACGTCTCAGCGAAAATTTTTGCTTCCCTTCTACTCAACAGACTTATAGGATTTGGAGACAGCAGGATATACGCAAGCTGGATTTAGACTGGGATGCGCTTGTGCTGACTATGTGTTCACGTTAAGAAAAGTTTGAAAAATAACTTCAAATATTTGTAAGTCACCGTCATCCACTTTGTAGTTGCCATCGATTCAGTTGATAGAGCAACGCTTTGGAGGGTAACGGAATTGACACATATTTCTTGCTAAACCCATAGAGAGTGGCGTCACAAACGAGATGAACCAATAAAGACCTGGGCTGATACGGTCAGGAAAGATTTTGATCATAAAGATGAAGCAGCAATATATGGCCTTAAACGATATAAAAAGGAATGGCTTCTATTGATCGCGCAGCTTAGAAGTAAATGTCTCACCCATGTAGCCAGTGGAGCCAGCCTAAGTAATAATGGTGCGAACTGTTAGGAGAAGAAGAAAAAGGGCATTTGAACAATAAAATATATTTGATATTTTTTATATTACATCTGAACCTATCCGAACCGTCGCCTCCATTCTCAAAGCCATCTCGCTCCAAAAGCGATTTCTTTCTCGCCGCACTGTTGTCGTTGCAATTCTTCAAAGCATCCGGTAGTCAAGATGTCCTGACATCCCAAGGCCTAATATAGGACTGTTCATTATCCGCTTATAAAGGTCGATCATTTGGCATTTGTACGGTTAAATTCATTGGCTTCATTAGCCTATTCTAAGCCAAAAATATACCACATCCATTTATTGCCTGTTACGCTGCATTTTTTTAAATGGCAATTAGCACCGCTCAGCTTGTAGCATTTGAGAAAGTTCTGCCTAGAAGTTTCCTCGGCGACAAGAATACCGCTGAGCGACCAATATATTCCTGATTTTTATACTCGTACAGAGAGCGTCGACGTTGAGCTAACGAGCCACTGAGCCATTTTATTCTCTTGTCCTCTTCATGTCAAATGACGCGGTGAATTCCAATTCAAACGTTGATCCTCAATGGCAATTATCTTACGCAATCACATTGCATTAAATCACATTCACGCTGCATTATGTGGCCTTTAAAATGTTTCGATGGTACTCGCCTACTGGACGACGGATGGTTAATGTTTCCCAAAAAAAAGATCTTTTAAAAATTAGATTCTTACAACGATTTTCTGATAATTCGGTTCAAATTTCTTCCTCTTTTTTAATTTTTTCTTGTTGCAAATCATTTGAATGGAAGTAAATTTAAGTGATGGGGAGAAGATTTTCATAATAAATGGAGCTGTGGACGGTTTTCGATCGGACGGACGTGGGTGAGTTTCGTTTTGGCATTAATTAGCTTCATCACTTATTAATTGGCCGTCCTACAAGACGGGCGACGCATTTTTATTCCATATTCGGGCAGCTCGCTTACTTATTTTTAGTTTGCTTTGACTCGCTTCGCTAGTGATTAAGCCGGAAAGCTTGAAAGTCTTCCGGTCTTTCCGTCCGTTCTGATCTGATTGGTTTCTTGGAACAAGTAAAACCTTTTGGGCGTATCTGAAAGGATAAAAGACCGGTGAGATCGGCCTAAATTAGGAATCAGCTAAGTTTTAAACTAAAAACTAGTCCTAGGCATGGGCCAATGATTCTGAGGCTTTGCCAAGGATTTGGCCGTAGAAAATTGAATCGTGGCGTTAGTGAATGCAAAGTGCTATTTGTGTCTGTTATTTTACTGTACTTTCGTTACTACTAAATTTTTTTTGGTGGCGGTCTTATATTTTATATTTTATTATGGTAGTTTTTAGATTATTTTAGATTATTTTTTCTTAATTTATTCAAAATTTATCAGCAAAAGCCAAGTATTAATTTGATTTATTGCAAAAAAAAGTGAAATATATTCTAGATTAAATGATTATCGACCGATAATAATCGAGACAGGTGTTTTATCAGCTACAAATGGATCAGCTCGTGTTCGATTGGCCTCAACGGATTTGTTGATTGGTGTTAAAGCGGAATTAGCTGTTATTGATAATATGAGTGCTTATAAAAATTGCATAAATTTTTATGTTGATTGCTCGGCAAATGCGACTCCACTTTTTGAAGGTAGGTTCTTTCATAAATCGCCATTTTTAATGAGAACTAAGAAGCAACATGGATTCGGTTTCTGCCTCTTGACAAGGCTAAACTTATTTTATACCATCACCATGGTAAATGCTAATGGGCTTGTCATGTGATCATATGAGACAAATTTCTTTTAGATTTAGATTGATTTTTTTTTTTAAAGCGAATTTTTAATTGACCTTGATTTTACCTTAGAAGATGATATCTGAAGGAAAAATGTCATAAAAACAGAATTCTTCCTTTTTTTATTTATTGTTGAAAAAATTTCACATAATATGATAATTGTGATATTTAGGAAAAGGTGGACAAGAATTTGGTGAGGAAATCGCATCAGCTTTATATGCTGCATACGATAATTCTTTTGCCATTTCGGATCTGAGCAAGTAAGCTCACTTCCTCAAATTCATTTTATGAATATTAATATTTATGTTGCAAAATATTCTGTGATAGTCTCTTTTATCGAAGCATTTGTGGTTTGTGGCTGGCTTCTATGACTAAGTCTACCAGAAAGTGGATTTATAGCTATTTTTATTGACACTCTTCTGAAGGGTTAGGAATCGGATAGCTAAAGTAAGTTGCAACACAAACTCCACCATCTTGTCCCCTATTTATAGCAGTAAAATTTGTGATTCCTTTCTATTTTTCTTTATCATTTTCACCATTTCTTATCATTTCATTATAATTATGATTTATTTTTTCGAAAAAACAAAAAAACTCATTTTTTTAAGATTAATTGTATCTTCTATGCATGCCTGGAAACTTTACGTTGATATTGTTGTACTACAATGTGGAGGAAATGTCATTGATGCAGCTGGACTCGGTGTATGTTTTTTTTAGGATGTTATATTTTCTTTTTGGTGAAATAATTTTCATGTTCAGTGCAATTATTATTTTTTCATGTTCAATATTGTTTCAAAACCCAAATCAATTTTCCAGGTAAAGGCTGCTTTATTTGATACGCAGATATGTGAAGTGATTACTCGTCCAGACGATGAAGGTAAAATAACGGTCGATCTTCCGGAGGATATTGTTTTATGGAAGTTGGATGTTTCTAGGTTTGGGTTCATTCATTCATTTATTTATAATTTATGGAAATTTCTCATCAAATCACGAAGTCAAATTTAGGTTTAAAATAGAATTTCTTTGCTTCAATCATTTCATTTTATCCTCATACATTGTCCTTTGTAGGGCACCCTTATTTGTTGGTGTAAATAAATTGGGTAGTGCAAATGTTGTTGATCTTTCTTTGCAAGAGCAAGCTTGTTGCCGTGCGGCTTTGTGGATTGCTGTTTCACCCATGATCTCACTTGAGGAACAAGTAAGTATTTTTGCTTATGTTCACCAATATTTGTAAATTTATAATACTCCTGCACTGTTCTTTAAAATTTCTGAAATTTGTCGAAAAGAAGTTGATGAGAAAAAAGTCATATTATTGTACTATTTATGTACTAAATATGTATTTTAGGCTTCTTCCGAAGATGGTGATTATCGAATATTGTTTATTAGGCAGTGTGGTGGCGGATCTTTACAGAGTGATACATTAGGTTGCATTTTCTAATAATATATTTTTTGATATATTTTTTTATAAGATTTTATTTTTTCTTTTTTTCGACGTACTTCAAACAATATTTTGTAAAATATTCATATTGTAGAGTCGGCTTTTTATATTTAACTTTTATTTATTTTTACTACTGACCTTTTATTCAATAAGACAGTTCGATAGTGGAACTTCAGTAAATCTTGACAGGTGATATTCTATCATAAAAAAATTCTGGTGACAGGTGATGCCGCGACCCATTTGTGCTTTTCTGTTATCTTGTCTTACCATGCCAATAAGTGACGGCACTAATTTAACCGGAAATAACATTAAATTCTCACCACTGAGGAGGCTCATGCTTAAATTTTCCCAAGAATTATGAGGATAGAAATACTTTTTTATTTTTTTAAATTTTAGTAATAATTTTTTCAGCAGATATCGTTTCATTCGGTATACAAATTGGCATGCGATTGCAACATTTATTAGCCAGATATTTACTTGGTGAAAATTTCCATTCGAATTATCCACTTTCAACATTCCTTTTATGAATTTTTCCTGTATGATTTCTATATTAACGAATAAATTTGTTTATATAGTTTTTCAAAACATTACTGTTACAGCCATTGTCAGCTGATGTTTTATCATTATTTTCAGAGAATTTATGAGTTATAAATGCAAAATAAAGCGCTAGTATGATGATTAAAGATTAAAATTAAATTTGTATTTTTAATCTTTTTAATAAATTCGTATATTTAGTTTCCATGGAGGATTTTTAAACTGATCACACGGTTCTCGCAGTACATTTTTCATCAGCAACTTTTTTTTCTGCACTCTAAAGTTTTTCATAACCAACATTGAATAATTCGTGGTTTCGTAGTGCATGGTATATAAAATATCGTAGTGAAGTTGCAAATTTGTTTTTGCGAAGTTTTATAGGTGAGCATTTGCTTGCACATGTATGCATTTGCGATTACGTATTGCACATTCACTACAGATTTTAATATTTTTTTCTAAAAACTCTATTGGTACGATCTTAATTTTGGAATAATTTTTAATGCTTTCAATTTTTAATCAGTCGCAAGTCTTTAATTTTATCTCGCACATAATCAATCGATTTGCACTAAACGGCCGAATGGACATTTGCACATATGAAATAATTGTACAATGAATGACCATGCAATAAACGATACGACTTGTATTATTCGGTTTTCATTGGTTTATATTCGTGCTCACTTCGGCAGGTAGTTCGAAGGATTTCTTCCCTTTCTTTAGCTCAATTCTATTGATTTTGTTCAACGTAAAGCGACTGTTTTGCGATCGGTTTATACTTTCAGCGACAAAAAGCGACAAGTCGCTTATTGCAATATTTTTCGACAAAAAAGTCGCTTATTTCGCGATAAAATGATCGTTTTTTGCAAGATTATAGAATATTTCTGTCATAAATAATTTAAAATAATTCATTTTTAATTAAATCGAATAAAATTTATATTATTCTTATGATTCATTTTATTGATAGCGGGCGACCATTCTGTCTGGTTTTATTTATTCTTTGTAGCGAAGATAACGGTTGCATAGTTGTTGTTAGAAACAAAAAGAATATAGTTGAAGTAAGCGGGTGAAAGGTCGAGAAAATTTAAGTATTGAGGTTGGGGAAGGTCAGAGTGGTCTAAAGGATTTCCAATAAATGAAGATTGTTGATAGAACTTGTTGAGCGAAGAAATTTCGCGGGGAATTAGTCCATTCTCATTTTAAAAATTGCGATTTATTTTAGTAGTTAATTTGGAAGTCTCCTCGTTCTCTTTGATTTTTCATAAAGTTCTTTGATACTTTTTTTGGCTATTTGTGACTTTTTTGCTTTTTTTTTCGAATTTCTATTATTCCTTTATAGTTGATTTCAATATTTATTGAGTCGGTTAGTCCGTTAGCTTGCTTCTTTAACCATTATTGGTTAGGCTCGCTCCGTTAAACTAGGCTCTATTAAATTAGGCCGTAAAAGCCTAGGCGTTTAGTCCGAGTTTAAAAGAACTTTTTTTGAAGAATGTCTTTGGAAGCGAATAAATCAATGCCACTTGATGATTTACCGAAGCTTCCAAGCGAAATAGCCGAGGAAATGGTGAAGTGTCATGATCTGAAACATGTTGAAACTATTGAAAAGAATATTCTTCCATCGAAACTTGGTTATTATTATTATTCTTTTTTTTTCTTAGTTTATATCTCAAATCTGAATTATGAGAAATGAATGAAAGATTTTTGGAATGACAGAAAGCACCAAGGAAACCGTCAATAAAAATTAAATCTGGATGGATGCTGAGTGTTCATCTAAAACAATTTTTTTTGAGAATCCTTACCATTACTGGTTAAGCTCGCTCCACTGCTTTGTCACATTAAGCAACATGCTAGGGAGTCCCTTGGCGATAGAAATACAGGTCGCCAGCATCACCCGCTTTTAAATCAGTTGCTTCGCTCAAATGATATTGTATTGATAAGTTTTTGTCGTTCAAGGATACAATGCAAATAACGGCCAAACCATAAATGGTGCTACTTATTAAAAGATATTTTAAAAAATATAAAGTATTTTATAATTTTTCTTTTCAATCATAGTTTATGACAGATAAGGCTAATATTTATTGCAGATGTCTACAACGAAAAAGTTGACGGTAAATTGAAGGAAGAAATTAAGGGTCACGATGTCTCGAAATTACACCACACAGATACTGTTGAAAAGAATGTTTTGCCTTCACCGAATGGTTATTTTCACTTTGCCTTGCTATTCCAACATAATTATCAGTTAATATCATAGTTATCCATTATTAAAGTTGTTGTTAGTTAGATGATTTTTTGGAATTGTTTTTTTGGTTAATTACGCCATTTTTTGATAATTTTAATGATTTGATTAATACGATTTTTTTGCGATTAAAATTATTTTTTTGAAGATATCGCTCGTGAAAAAGTACCCCATGAAATATCAAAATTTGACTCGGACAAATTAAATCATGTTGAGACAACAGTAAAAACAGCTTTACCATCAGCCGATGGTTCTCCTTCCTTTTATTTATTTTTTTATTCCTTTTATAAGTTTCAGATTAAATTTATTAAGAAAAGCAAATTATCAAATCCTAATTCTTTGTTATTATTTCCCCTATCATGGTTTTATAAATTTTTTTCTTGAAACTTTAAAATTTTTCTACATCGCATCTTCGCGTATAAATCGCTGATTCAGCTTTCAACTTTTAGTTTTTGATTTAATTCTGTTAAATTTATGAATATTTAAAAATTAAAATATAGAAAATTTATTTATTGAAAATTGCGAATCGATATTATTGCTGACGATTGTGTTAATATGCATCATTTTTTTTCATTAGCCTTACAAATTACTGGCTTTAATATTATATGATAGGGCGCTCTAATGAGCCTTTCTTTATAAAGACACTTAGGAATTGGAAGTAGGAATGCAGGTGTACAGTAGAAATACAAATATTAGATTTTTAACATCCTGGTTTGATTAAATTATTTTTTAAAAAATTCTTTCCTCCTTCCTTTAGTAAAACTTTCAGAATTTACTCGAGAACAGACGAAGAGTCTCGCTGCAAATTTTGATCATTCGAATTTGAAGCATGTTGAGACAAATGTGAAACAGAATGTCGAAGGTTTTTCGTTATTTCGCTATCTTAATTTGAATCAAATCAGATTTTTTTATTCATATTATTCATCAAAAGATGAAACGATATAAGTTTTAAATATAAATTTTTTTCAGTGATATCAGAATAATAATCTGGTTTATTATCAACAATTATCAATTGCATCATACTTGATTTAAAGCGTATTTTGCTGCAGATTTTTAAGCAGAACTGATTTCAAACAGACCGATTTTAAAGTTTTTTAATTTTTTTTGCACATTCTTATTTATAATTTGCTTAATATCAGTAAAAACCTTCGCTTCAATTACAGAATCACTCGAACAGTAGAAAGCTGTGAATAAATTTCTAAGTTGATGAGTTATGAATATTTTTTTGTGGGCAGTTGATTTTTAATTTTGGTTATTATCAAGATTCCTTCTCGAAAGGAAGTTCTCGAAAGAAAAGGAAGTTTAGTCATATGCAGTGTGCTGATCAAGTTGTTTTGTTGTTGTTATTTGTTGAAATGGCGATATGGTTTGTTATATTCTTCCACTTTTCCACTTTTGTTTTGTGCTTTTCTTTAAGAATTCACTTAATTATATACGATAATCACTGAAATCTCTTCGATTGCGGTTGTTATTAATTTTTTCTTTATCTAAATTCTTATATTGTTACTTTTCTATAATAAATGTTTTATCAGGATATCAGTTGAACAGTTTCAAAAGTTATCAGGTTTATAGTTTAATAAATTGCTTTCTCTGGAACTAACAATTTTTTCGATTGTTAAGCAATTCGAAATTTCTTATTGAATTCGTGACTTATTATTGGAAGGACCACAGACCACATTGTATGTTAGATACAATCACACGATTATCAATAATTATCAATTATCAATAATTCTTTAAAAGAATGCTTGAATTCAATTTTTCACTTAAACAACTTTTTTTAGAGGTAAATTAATTTTTTCAATATGGAAATATTCAAAAAAAAAAAAAATGGTTTTTCATAAATATAATGAGGTGAAGCGGAAAAGACCCGTATATTTTTACACCAACAATATGATCGTACGAAGCTGTTTTTCCAGCAAACTGACTGTGTTTCTGCAAAATCGATCGAATGAGGCTTTTTAAAAAATCTCATTATTACACGAACTGTCGCAACTGTACACTGAATTGTTCTAGGTCGGTCAATAACTGTTGGGATAGCGGTCGATCTCGCAAATCTAATTGCCAACAAGAAAACATTAAGAAATACCTGCAAAATAAATTTTATACATGAAGTGGAGGTCCAATCAAGACCATATGGACCTACATAACTAGGAGAAATTTCTAGCACAATTTCTATGTTCAGCGATATATGAACTAAGGCGATGAAAAAATTATTGGGTTCAATTAATTTTTCAGACGTGGTGTCGAATTAGGATAGGAGGCTTGGTAATGTCTTCCTATACTATAGTCACTAATGGAGCCAACTAAACCAGTAATAGTGTCATTGGCAAAAGAGGAAGAAAAAATGTGGTACCATATTTTTGTTATTGCTTTCATCATTTGCCTTTTTCGTTATATACTACCAAAAAATTATTCTTCAAATATAGCTAAAGATATAAAAACTATCGTTTATTTTCCAATTCAATTCTAGATAACTTATTTAACTTATCATCATTTTTCCTTTAAGCCAATATAATATAACCAATACAATTCGTCAGGACAATTGTAAGGCTGTGGAAGACGACTTCCTTGTTCGAGAACCGTTATTATATTTCCAGGATCTATAGCGTCAAATGGTTGCTGTCCACATGATGATAATTCCCATAAAGTTACTCCAAATGACCACTAAAATATTCATTTATTGATGAATGAAAAATTAATATTATTTTGAGCACTAAAAAAAAATTTTTATTGAGTATTTATCGTACGACGTCTGTAGATTTACTAAATGAATTAGATCTCAAGCTTTCATATGCCATCCATTTAATTGGTTTTGCTTCGTTATTATTGAAGTAGTAATAATCATTTGGAAAGAAATCCTTGGCTAAAGCCGAATCACATAACTGGACAAATAAACGATTCGTAGTACCATGATTTTTTTCGCTTACCAGACAATTTCTAAAATATTCGAATATTTTGAGAATAATAATTTATAAATCATTGGAAATTGTTAAAGAAAAAATTTATTGAATTTATTAAAATTCTTAGAGAAAAATCAAAAATACCTGGCAGCAATATCTTTATGAATAACACCATGCTTATGGAGGTGAATTATTGCACTAAGTATTTGCATAGCCATTGAAACAACTTCATGAGTTCTTAAACTTCTATATTCCTCTAAATAGAGAAAATTATTTCCGTTACTTTAGGCTGATTGTAATGGCTGCTAATATTTCATTTTCAGATATTCATTCAGATATTCATTTATTCATTTCAGAGATAAAAATATAAGCGACTCGCTAGCATAATCTCGGATTTTTTAATGAAAGGCTCACTCTTATCTCGTATAGAATCTGAACTCAAGCAAAAATGCTAAATAAAAAAGCACTTGGCTAATCCAAAAATTAGGGAGGAAATTTTCCAATTTTTTAGTTTTTTTGAAAAAATAAAGGATGTCGGAGAATTATGATCATCGATGATCATAAATTTCGAATGATTTTTGATTTTCACGAAATGTTTGCAAAAATAAGACTAGCCTCTTGCTTGGCTAACTAACCTTTGCTTGGCTCAATATTTTCGTTTTCTTGGCATAGTTGAAGAAATTGTTTCAAATTCCCAAAACCTTGATGCTTATAGCAAATCAGTGGAAAATCTACTATATCAGCCAAACGAGTGAATTTTCCAAATGATGCAATCGCGATTACCTAAACAAGCACAAATTAAAATGTGATTGAAGGTGAATAAAAATGTGATCAGTAATGAATGGAAGATTTATTTCTAGGGACTCTATTTAACCTTACGGAAAATGGAAAAAGAGCAAACTAAAATTTAAGATTGTAAAAAAACTGAATATTGTCAGCCTCATATCAAAATTTTTTTCACCGTAACTAATAAGAACTGATTAATAAATTGCATGAAAGAAGAGGAAAAATACCTGAGCAAGATTTGGATGAGATGGAACACAGTGAAATATGAGTACTTCTTTGATGAGTTTCTCGAGTTCTGTGCGACTAGCTGTATTTTTCAATGTTTTAGCGATGATAGCACAATCTTCATCAGCCTTATCTTCCTCATCATCAATATCACCTGAGATATCATCCTGATTTCGTCGCCAAATCGCCCATTTCATTTCAGCAATATTACCTTCTAGTACATTTTTCCCATGTACCTTCAAAATAACTAATATTTCTGTGATGTATATTTTTAACCAATCGGTCAAAATCAGATCGAGTGACACGCCATCTAAAAGGCGAGAACATGAGCTCATTGTTTGATGTGAGTAAGTCTATCCTTAAAAATAAATGCCTCAGTGTTGCTGACCGTCTACAAGTTGATCTAGTTGAAGCTTTAGCGAAAGAATCTTCGCTTAGCAAAGCAAAGCAGAGAAATTGTCCAAATCAAAAATGTTGTATGCTGTTAGAAGAAGAAGAAAAATTTTGGTCAGTGACTTTATAAAATGTATGCTAATCACTTTTGAAATATTTACGATCATTGGCCGTTAAAACCAAAGGGGCTTATTCCCAAGGCCATGACATCCACAATTAAGCTGATTCTTCGAGCAATGAATATAGTTTCAAAAAAGAAACCTGGAAGAGATTGCGATCGGCATATAGTCTCCTAAAAGCTGCATCATAATCAACTGTACATTTCTTTTCAAGAGACATTTTTGAAGTTTGTGGATTTTGTGACGACATGCACACATACAAATTTTCATCAACTGAAATTCAACATAATTATTTTAGCATTTTATTTTATTTTATTCGCAAAAAAAATTTTAATGAACCTTAAAATTTCATTTCATTGAAGTTTGCAGAAAAAGCTCAAAATAGAGAAATTATAGCAATTTTAAAGTTCATTTCAAAATAACTTAAAAGGAGTGGAAAAAAAATGAATAAAATTCGATAGAAATAAAACTATAAAACGAATAGGAATATTATTAAAGAAAAAAAGAATAAAATTAAACTATTGCTGGTTGTAGAATTATTGCCATTAATGAAAGGAATTGACAAAGAAGGACGTCGTCGTTGCAGAGTTCTCCTTAAAGTTGAAATTTTGCTAAGCTTCATTTTATATTTACCAATAAAAAAAATATCTAAGGATATTATCAGTGTCTTAGAATTATTAGAAATTAATGCGAAAGAAAACAAGAAACTTGATTATTTTATGATTATTTCTCTTATTTTCATTGCGCTTTATCATTCCTTTTTATCTTTTTAATTACTAAATTAATTTTTTTCAAGTTCACTTCTTGGAAAAATTTATCATAATTATTACATGTCTGGTTCATAAATTAAAAATTTCTTTGCCGATTTCAAATATATAAATAAAAAAGCTGTAATAATGAATATAACTGCAGTTGCACATCCAATCATCAGATAAAATAGATTTTCATTCGATGCTTCTATAAATTACAAAAGTTTGATTTATGAAAATTGGAAATCAAATACTTAAAAAAGATATGAAAGTGTAAGCATTTTAAACGTCATAAAATGAACTATTGATAAGCCATTGATAAATTATTGATAAATAAAATTTATCGAAATTTATGAAAGAAAGCATTTACTAAAATTGTAATTGTAATTGTAACTGTGTTTTTCAAGCCAATCATAATTGTCATAGTCTGAAAATTTTGCTTTTATTTTTTATTTTCTACTAATCGCTTGTGCAAAATTTTACGATGAAATTAGTTTAATAAAAGAAATTATAAGATGGGAATATATATATATGCAAAAAACGGTAGAATAATTGAGTGGTTTTCGTCACCGGCACCGAAGTTAAAATTCTGCCTTCAAGAGAAATAAGCAAATTATTGAGGAAATCAAGCCAAGTGATGCAGCGGATCAACTTGTACTGCCTTTCTTAAATTGCCCTCTAGCGAAGATCTAACAGCTAAAGAAACTAGTCTAAAAAAAATGATAGGCAATAAGCACTTATTTTTATATCAATAATGCAATAAATATTTATGTAAAGAAAAAATTTGGTGGATCTTAAGAGGGATATCTTAGGCTTTCCATATCCGCAAGAGATACGCTAAAACGTCACCCATATATCGTTTGGATGGATTCACTAACAATGAGAATGAAATGAAATCCTTTTGCCAGAGAATCGCCTGTGGATGAACTTGTCGCTTCGCTCCGCCTCGCATCCTCTCTCCCCACCCTTCCCAGTTCATTATTTAGATTTCACTTTTAATAACAAGTCATTTACTTCCGTCATAAAGGAATCGAACCAATACTGCTTGTTCTCTGTCGAAATAAATATCAGCACTACCTGTTAGTCTGAATAATATACCCATATAAGGCTTATTGTACTCTTTTCGGAGCCGATGTTGGGATTTTTTTCTCGATAGGAGTAAAAAAATCTTTCAAAAATTCGTGTGATGCTGGCAATTTCTATACATGCTTCTGCATTTTTATCTCCAATTGGCTGCTTGATAAAATTTTCTGGACAATTCAACGGAGCGAGGTAACGAGGCAACGAACCAAAAATGTTGGGCGAGAATATTTGTTTTCACTTGCTTGCTGGTGATAATATTTGTTCATTAGACTTACTTTTACTTCCACGAGCAAGTATTGATGAGCATAATTTCTCTTGTTTTACAGTTAGATAAGTGTAATTCGCTGATGATGGCCATGAAAAATTGAAGCTTAGTTTAATATGAAATTGGCCAGCTTTATTACCTGTACATCGATATTCGACGACAAATGCTGAAAATCATGTATTGAATGTAAGGGTTCTTCTTTTAACATTATTCACTATTTCTAGCTTGGCTGTCGCTATTGGCTTTCAAAATGAAAACATTTTGCAGGAGAGTCAAATATAGATAAAACTGGTTCGAGCACCACCACTCTGATTGCATTTACAATGATTTAGTCACCGCCGAGAGATAAATAAGAAGTAAGAATGGAACCTATGATGACCTTAGTTGAAGCAATATGCCGCTGGAGAATCCTTTCGGATTAAATAATTTCTAAGTTGAAATGGAAATTTCCATCTTTTTTTATGTCAATTATTCTATTTCTATCATATTATAAGAAAGAGAAAATACTTTGTGTTTTCGTAGGCAAATAGCCTTGTAACGGTATATGCACAACAGGCAGCACAGCATTATCATCAGTTAAAACTGTTATTTCATAGTTTATCTGCAAGTGTTATGCAAATTATATCATGCAGCAATTCATTTTTAGGTTGGAAATAGCAAACATTTGATGTATTATATTGATGTAATATATTACAATATAAACCCACCAGAATGCTATCTGTAATTCAGTTAATAAATTTTAGATTTGGAAAGACTGGATAGCGTAAAATATATATATATATATACGTTGGTAAATACCATCCACATTTTTTCTAATGGCCGGTTGAAAAGTAAAATGCCATAAATGATGCATCGTAATATGATCGTAATATCAAACCTTTCTATTAATAACTTTCGTATTCCAGGAGAACTCAACTTGAGTTATATTAGTGTTAATTCGGTAAGGAAATTCGCGAGAATAGCGATTCACAATGCCATTTTCGATATAATTCAATTCAGCGTTTAAGCCTAAAATTATAGGCATTCGCGCAAAATATTATATATATATATTTGTGGAAATAAAATTATAGAATTATATGTGCGAAAATATTTATCTTTATTTAAGTAAACTATTAGCAAAACTGCTAAGATAATTTGAGAATAATTTAGCGATTTATGTTAGCATTTTGTAAGTTTTTAAAAAAAATCTATTGAAAAACAGACTTAGAAAGGCAAAATAAATTATTTTCTTTGTGCATCGATTTATTTTGTCAAATTATTTCGCCAAATTTCTATCAAAATTATAGCAAATTATTGAAAATTTTTACCATAACAAAAATACTAAATAGCTACCTAAAGTTCGATTCATTTCGCTTTTCGTTATAAATAAATTAACCATCGCATAAGCCGAATTAAAAATATACTGAATTGTTGATATTGCCAAAAATAAATTGTTCATTATTTGTTTGCTTTTCCTCACTCGCATAAATATTTTTAATTTTTTGCCTGGCAAAAAAAATTGTTACGTTATTTTTTTTCCAATCATTAAGATCTACAATATAATTCGTTCCTATTGTAAATGTAATTTTTTTCGCTAAGAATGTATGCCATTTATGATTTGGCCACTTGCAATAACTGCTAGGATTTTTATTTTCAGCATTTGTTTCATCGGACGTAAATGTCAAGGATTACAAGAAAGTGTTTTATGCTTGATGTTTGAAGCAATTAATAATAAAATAATACGAAATTCTTAAAAAAATGATTGCAAAATATGAAAAATAATCATTTCGAATTGAAATTTCAAGCAAATGAAAACTGAATAATTTCACTTATTTTTTCCTAAAATTGGACTGGATATATAGATTGCGAAAGCAAGAAATTAATCCATTAATTCTTGTTCCACTGGCTATTCATATAGATTAGAGGTCTAGTAGGGGTCCAAATACCATCCAAAACCTCTTATGCTGAATAATTAGCAATATTTTTTCATCATATCTTAGATCCCCTTAAGTAATTTTTTCGTGTTCTTTGATTATGACATTAATGTAATTATAAGATGGCAATGCAGACCATTTCTGATTTGGCAGAATTTCTTGTTTCTCGCTTCCCACTAATCCGATCGTATTCGAGCCGTTTCCAGATCTTCCAAATTTTTGAAAATATTTTATTTCAAATTAAAGCAATCTCGCATTGTTATTTTGCCAAAATTTTTAATCTTTTCCTAAAAATAAGAAAAATGAGGAAAATAAATTCCATCTTAACGAATTATAAAATCATCACTGGCTTACTCTTCGAATAGCGCATTTCGTATCTGATTTGTGCTATTCACCTAGAAATATAGAAATATAGATGAATTTCTAGCATCTCCAGAAGATAAAATCCTTGTTGGTGTTCCGTGCTGCTAATTGCTAAATATTTAAATATTTCAATTTGAATATAGGCTTTTTGAAACTAATAGCGATATAATGAGAATGTTCAACTATTTGAAAAATATCGTTTAATAAACAGAACAAATAGATTCTTTAGAGAAAGTGAAGAGAAAAAGATGCGAGAAATTAAGCATAAATTCATATATATTATGAGCAAGGATTTTTATTGAAATGAGGGCAATTTGAAGTATTCGTTTATGAAATTTTACAAAATCGATTATTTATTTTTCTAAGAATTGGAGACTTGGAAACTGAAATTAATATTAAATTATATGAAAATGGCGATACGAAGGCATTAAGTAGTGTTTATAAAAAAAT